CGAACAATAACACTTTAAAAGATATTTTTTTCGATAAAACATGGTTATATTTCAGCATTTTGAGGGGGGGGCTTCAACCCGAAAGCCCTCCCCTCGTAGATTCGCCCGTGATTGCGATAACAATTGAAATTAACATTCAAATGACCTCTTTGTATTCTGCCAAACCAGACCAGTGGACCAATGTTTTGTACCATGTTGTTATTATTCTTAGGGGACTTTAGCCCCAGAATAAAATTATTTTTTCATTCATTCATGATCAAACATGAAAACTACCTTAAAATTGTCTAAACTTTGAAAACCTGTATTTCGTAAACTATTAGATTTACCGAGCATGTTCTGGAATTAAATTGTCTAGTTTAGAAATGGGGAGGCACTGAAGTGGAAAACATGGATTTTGCATCTCATTCATATCAAATACAAGAAAATAAAATGAAACTTTATATCCAATTCAATGTAACTTACGATGTACAAAGTTACTGGGCAATATATGGACCCAGGAACGCTACTGGTTCCAAAAATGAAATTAACAACACTTTAATATTGTAATTTTTATCAAATTATACCAATCGAACAAAAGAATCAACTCTTGCTGTTTTACAGCAGCAGTATGTTTCGTTTTACTGTATTTTTTATAACTCATATATATTAAAGTTATAAATTACTTATTTGTCAAATAATGTGTGTGTTATAACTTATTTTGATGGAATTTTAATATTATTACACTTTAAATTAGAGAGAAGCTTTTGATAAAGATGTTATTTTGAAGAACTTAAATTTAAATAAAACTAATAAAAAAACTTGTTTCTCTTTATAAGTTAAAGGATGCCATAAATGATAAATAAGAAATATAGTTTTTTAATATAGATTCATATGTTCATAAGTACTTAACTAAAGAGAAACGTTTATATTCGAGTAACAAAAATAATCATTGACTATCTAATAGCCAATGAAACAGCATTCATTTTTTTTTTCAAAATGGCTACAAATTTCAAGATGAAGCAGCCTAATTTAAAAGAAAATGAAACGAGATATTTTCTTAGTGGATACTGACTAAGTTTTTTTAAGTTAATAAAAGGATATATATAACGTTTATCTTACCTGTTATGTTATAATCCAAAAACTATCACTTGTCGTTTAATAACTATTAATAAAAATTAATAACTAAACGTCTACCCGCACTCACCATAGCAATACACTCAAATCATATTTACAGAGAGATATGCATCATAAAAGTGCTAAGATGGTGTGCAAAGCAAAGTTGTTTTGATGTTTGTCAGTAGGTAAATTTACTTAGTCGTCGTTCAATTACTGGCTAGAAGAAAATTACGAAAAAAACATAAACCTGAAATATAAAATAGGAAAGTGATAACTAGTTATTTAACGGATAACTAATAAATGATTATTATTTAAGAAATTAACTTCACAACTAGTGATTTGAAGTGAAGGTTCGTGAACGACACTTTGACTATCAGCTTACTTTCAAAAGCCTGCTCAATTCGATTTTTAGTTAGTGCAATCAGGATATATGATACTTTATCATTAAAAAAAAAAAAAAAAAAACGAATGTGTATTATTAAAATGATAAACTTCAATAATAAAGATCTGAAATAAAATTCTAAAGTAATTGAAGCACATTGATTGATAAACATTCCAAGAAGAATTTTAAGAAAATAGATTTATATAAATAAAAATAAAATTAACATTTTTTTTCACATGTATCCTATCAGTTAATAACGACCCAACAATTGCATCCCAAACTATTCAATCACACTTCACAAACCTTGAAGAATGGAGTCAAAACTGGAGAATAAAAATAAATTCCAATAAATTCCATCAAATCACCTTTACCCTTCGTCGTAAACCTATGTCCTCTTGTCCTACAGTATCCTTTAATAATACCCCACTTATCCCTGTTGAACAAATTCGATACCTTGGACTCCACTTAGACAAACGTCTAACTTGGAATTCTTATACCAGACTGAAACGACAAGAAACAGCTCGACGTTTCCGACTACTCCAGCACTTACTAGACAAACGCTCTAACCTCGTAGTCAATTACAAAAGACTCATATACATGACTACAATAAGACCTATTTGGACTTACGGAGTTGAGCTCTGGGGCTCCACTAAGCCATCGAATTCCTCTCGTATTCAATCCTTACAATCCAAAATCCTTCGTAAAATCCTCACTGCTCCTTACTTTGTCACAAACAAAATCATCCATAACGACCTTAATGTTCCTTATGTTTCTGACCTGGCCCAATCCAGATACCTATCCTTCCATAACAAACTTCAGAACCATCCAAACCCTCTCGTATCTAACCTTGCTTCCTCTACGAACCCTGACAACCCTCAGAGGCGTCTGAAAAGAAGATGGCCTCGAGATCTCCTTTTGTAAATACATTTTTAGAGTGCTACCAATGGGTAGTTGCTCAACATGTGATTTCATGATATTTTATTCCTTTGTTCACATTTACTGAATGTATTTTTACTTGTAATACAGTTGTAAATATCATCAATATTAAATCAGTAAGAAAAATCAGTAGGGAAATCAGTAAGCATTCAAATAATCATATTTATAATGGACCAAAAATTGCGTACTTTTCGAGTCCCTAATTATGAATTCATGTGTAAGGTCTCGATTCGTCGCACATCATATGGTTTGAAAGTCCCCACTTTTACATTCACTTTTATTTAAGTCCTTGTATGAAATTAGGAATCAAGATTACAATTTGCGCACTCTACGTTATATTCCCTTTCTATTGATACCTCATTTTTCAAAATCCATCACTCCTGAGAGCCGGAAAAGGAATATATATATATATATATATATATATATATATATATATATATATATATATATATATATATATATATATATGAGAAATAATACATAAGAAGATATCTGTAAAGGAACTCTTGGGTACAAGTTGGGGGAGATGATTGGAATATGATCATGCTCGACCATGAAGTTCCTTCTTAATCAGTTATTTAATTAACAGTATCCATATTAAAGAGGCTAGGTGTACCCTAGGAGGTTTTCATCACGACTGGTGTATCAGAATAAATAATTACCTGCCACAGTCGGATTCGAACCCCGTTCCTAGAGCATGTATCACGGTATCTTGGTCACTGAGCTACACAGCTCCATATAAAAATAAACAGATTCATTACCATCTTTATAAGGATCCATGGCCCCATGCTGTTTAATATGCATGTATGCGTATCTATATTCTATTGTGTTTGTTGTAAATATGTGTGCACATGCAAATATATCACGAATTACTTGATGTTATTCAATTACAATTTGTTTTTTGGGTTTTTTTTTTTTTTTTTTTTTTGTACCTCGCCACGTGAAGGGGTGGATATTTATTGAGGACAATCAAACCTATTTCAACCTGAGTGAAGAGTTCGAGATTCATTCTGTTACGAGATAAATTTCAATTTGTTCAGCCGGATTCGAATCGGTGCCGCTAGACTCCAGAATGCCTTACTTTAAAGCTACATTGATCAAGTACCTACTATTTTTACCGGGTCTAATACATATGGCAACCCCATCACTCCTGTGTGAGTCTCCAGATAATATCTGTCGTTGAAACATCTGGATTATGAATCATGAAGCAGAAAAGCCCACTAACAAAAAAAATACCATTGATTTTAGAAACTTAATTAATTCTTTATGCAAATGCGTTTATGTAATATCTTATCTCGGAACAAGTTAATACTTAAAGAGCATATACATTAGGCTAATTTGTTTTTAATTCAGTTAAAAAACATGTCTACCTCATTAAATTGATGTCTTGGAAGTTTAAATAAATAAATTATTCCTTTATCGTGGAAATGTAACTAACGAATCAACAGTTGTGTAAATAAAGAAATATTACATCATTGATTAAACCAGCCGTTCATTCGTGTCGCATTGATAAAAAATTTCTAAGTTTGAGATTTTACCATCCAAAATAGCATTTTAGAGAATCTATTTATTAATGAGCATTTGAATAGGAATCGATAGAATTAAACTTGTAATATATATTTCCTCTTTATTATTTTGTAACCTTTAAAGGACAAGTCGTAGTTAAAACCTCTTTAAATTATAGTTTATTTTTTTTAATCTGATACGTATGTGCATCACACAACTTTCAAATTAAATTCAATATAGATTCCTGTCAAGTTGAACTACCCGTATCATTTTTAAGAGCTCTCGACAATTTAAAAAAATTAAATTTTTTTTTTTAAATAAAATGAATTTTTATCTATTTTATGTTGGTTCAAATTTTGGAAGTTTATTATGAGTACTTCATTTCTGTGTTGAACGTGATATTATAAAGCTAGAAGCCTTAGAACGTCCAATCTGATGAATTTTACGAATTGGACAAGTGGTTCATGAAATTCTTATGTTAAATCAAACAAACCATTCAGCTTTATATATTAGTTTAAATTAATCAAAACACTTCAGATAAATAATAAATAAATTAATAAATATAATTTAGGACCTTACTAGGAAAAATTTATTTAGTAAGTTATATCTAACAAAGAAAACCTACTACTTCGCAGAATAAGTGAGATGTAAATAAATAAGTTAATTGATCAAGAGATGCAGAAGCTATTTTAATATCGAACTTGAATGTTCATCAAGGACATTTCTTACAAAACATGAATCATACGCCTACGTATGTTATGATGCAAGGGAAACAATTACTAATACTCAATTTAACAAACTAAATTTATTGCTAAATACGTTTAGTAACTTTATGTTAAAACAATGATTTATATGAGTCATGACCACCAAAGAATTAATAGTATAACAAAACTTATGTCATTAATAAAATATTATTTGACATGTGTTTAAGTATTTTAAAGAAAATTTTTTCAAATTTAAATGATAATTTAAATAAGGGTTTAGATGATAAGGGGAAAGCTAAGTTAAAAATGGCGGTTGTTCGGAGCGCATGCGCAGTAGTTATGTCCTATTCTTGGCCTCCCACCCGAGTCGATCCAGTTCCGTTATGTTCTATCGTTCGTTGTTCATCAGAGTTCTGCTGTGACAAATTGCTTTTGTTAAATTTATGATATGACAATGAATATAGTGCGAAAATGTTCAGAACTACGCACAATAGGAGTTTAAGACTGTGTTTTTCATTGTTCGATTCAAAAGTGCAAATCCCTGGGATGTTGATTGTTCTGAGAAAATAGTTTCCAGTGTTTATATAGTGATCAAAGAAGAAAACCAATTGTAAGTTCGATTATCATTTATTTAATATTGTTAACTAGACTATTACATTTATTATTTATATATTATAAAACAATTAATTGTTTTCTGTAACCTCCTGTTCAGTAATGAATCACTGACATATGTTATGAGGTCAAGAACGATTTCTTAGTAGTAATGGAAATTGTTATTTGGAATCATTATTAGTTATCTTTCAACATTCCTAATACCTGCAATTAATGCAATAATTCCTAAAAGATTAGTATAAAGGAAATAAGTGTTAGTTTCTGTTTGACAGCTTTCTCTTTCTTTATCCTTTGTCATCTCTATTAAGGAAGCTTTTCCTTTTGATTGTTTTATGCTTGTTGATTCATTATTCTCTATTGATTTTTGTATTAAACAGCCATAATTACTTTTAATTACAATTCAAATAGATAATTTTATTTTATAGTGATTGTTAGTTTCAAATCATCTATATTATACCCTTATTTATCAAGTTTTTTATAAATCTGAAATAAAAATTTAGTTTTCTCAAATAATATTTGAACTATACACCATCATTGTTTTATAAACATTTTAGCCTCTTTCTTACCATTTTTCTGAAAATGTGAAGATAGAAACTTATATCCATGAAGTTTTATTATTGGTTTATAAAGTTAATATTTACCATATTATGTTGTCATATTGTGGTAATTGTTATATTATCATTTTCCCATATTAATAAGTAATACTTTTGCTAAGTTTTCTTGATCAATAAGTATTACTACACCTTATAATACAGTCCCATTTAAAATGTCTGTTAGTACAATACATTCACTTTAAGAAAAATTGACTTGCCGATTAAATGATTTTATCAATATTTTAAAGATGATACTTTACAGGTCATCTTACATAATTGAATTTCTTTGCCTAGTTGATATTTGAAAACATCCTGCTTTCTAATAGAGTGATATGTTTTTCCAATTATATAATTGTTTTTATCATAAGATATTGTAAGTCATTAGAATTCATATTATTGTTTATATTTGTTTTGTTTTTTTCCATCAACCCCTATGGAAATAACTCCCCATGGTTTAATATTATTTCTGTGTAGGGTTTTATCATCGCACAAGCTGTTTATGTTTTAGCATTGAGTATTGTTTGTATTGTTCTGGTTATATGTGTCATTGCCATTATGGATGTGAATTATCCTATTGTTAATCCTAGCTTATAAAAATTAATCAAAATTCTACATTTGCCTTCTCTTCTAGTGGCAGGTTTGCTGACATTAAGTGTATTTGCCCATGATATATAATTAATTTTGTAGTTGTGTTTTCTCTCACCCCTTCCCTTGCATTTCATTATAACCTTATTAATTGACTTTATTTATAGGGGGTTTCTATTTAGAATAAATTAGCAGGTATAAAATTATTTTATTGAATAAAGATTTTGTTTAAAAGTAATACATACAAAACAAAATTAATTGTTTCAATTTTTTTTTTTACTTTTTACTCATAGAAATCATATCTAGCTTATCCTTAGTATATTACATTTAGTATATGTTTCATCAAGAAATTTAATTATATGAATGGAATTCGTCATAGCCTTACTGGATGAGATCTGTAATTTCTGGACTATTATAGATTATGTTTTTTAAATGGGTTGAAGTTTGTTTTGTGGTATTTATATCAAAAAATGTATACTATATCTCATAAAAGAAGTGTTCAATGTGTTAGAGTCTACTTAAATACAATGTTTGGGTATTATTTATATTATGCTGGGTTTTGTTAAAGTCATTAAAATATAATTAAAAATATGAAGAAGCACATTAAGTAATGTTTTATACAATGAAAAAGTCATTTACATTACCTAATTTGTTCCTAAGATCAGGTAACAACTCAGGTTAATGACTTTTGTTGCATAATTGTTGGATCATCTTTATTTCAGTTGTTAGATTGGTGCAAATCTGTGTTTGATAGTTAACTGTATCAGAGCGATACACAGATGTATCATCTTTGCAATAGTCAGTTTATGTTTTTCTGTTTATTTTATTTAAACAATAATCATATAGTCAGAAATGTTTGTGATACTGTTCATCAAAGTTCTTTAAATTTGATTCTCTTGTTCTTTAAAATAAATTGTAATAAGATTTTTTTTTTTTTCAAAAGGTTGAGAACATTCATATTTTGATTTTATATATAATGAACCACCTATGATTTGTTGTATTTTGAACATTATTCCTGTTTAAATTCTTTGACTTGTAATAATTTAGCTGTACTCCATGATTTCATCCATGTTAGATTTGAATTCTTCATCCGACGTTACATACAACAGTGCTTCTCATAAACTAGATAACATCTAAAATATAATTGAAAAAAATATAAACAATAATAAAAAAAATACCTCAGCATAAATTATATTTTTAATTCTTCTTCCCTGTGGTATATACTGATTTTCTTCACAATCTAAGTTGACTCCATTATTCTTTAATGTTTATTCCCAGACTTTATCTATAGTGACTGCAAATGATAAATTTCATCATAAAGCTCTTTCAGCATAATTATAATTCCCTCTAATTTTCCAGATTCGTTGTAATTTAGTTTTTCTGTTCTATTCCTATGATTCTTAGCGTGATGTACAACCCAGAGACTTATTTAAGAAACTGTCTATCTAATGCAAAAAGAATTTTTCAGTTCAAATTGGTAGTTTCTGAAATTAGTGTATTCAAACACTTTGTCTTCATATACTACATGTTTGCATTATTCTTATAAGTAAAAAATGTTGCACGATCTTGCACTTCATTGTTTTGTTAGCTAGCCCTATTTTTGGTGGAGAGAATTGGCAAGTGAACTGTCAAAATATAATTTATGTTTGTTTTCAATTTTTTTTTCTTTTCTCGGCTTTATGCGAGATACTGATTGAGGTCAACGGTATGATTTATAGGATATTTAATTTGAAATATTAAACAATTTCCCAACTGGCGGTTCCCAGCATTACCGGTTTCTCAATTTCAGAGTTTACTCTGGAATCAAACCGTTGCTGGATATTGTAATGAGAAGTACTTTCCACCAGCGTGTATAATTGCTTTCATTTCTTGCATAGCTCTTCCTACTTTCAAATGTTTTCACCTAATGTATTAGCTACATTATCATAAGCATGAACTCTAACTTTGATGATTATTTTCTTAATTTTTTTTTATCAATGAGCAGTATATCTAGTCTATTGTTGGGAATACTATGATCAGTTATAGTTTGATCGCAGTATAGTTTGACATCCACTTTTTCTTACATTGCCTGGGATTGGTATCTCAAAATGACTGATAGTTGGTAATTAATTTATATTTTTGAGTCAGACTCTGATGTGTGACTTTTGCCTCATTGTTATTGTAAGGTATTCTTTACCTGCTAATGCCTGACAGCCAGAAGTTACATGATGTATCAAATTGTTCACGGCTTTACATAGACAGCATCTGTCATCGACTGCTTCATATAAAATGTGCTTCCTGTAGGAGTATGTAGCCATGTTCTTGCATCCCCAAATGGAAATTAAATTATTTATTATATCTATTAGGAAATTATTATTATTAGTTTTACCTTTATTTTTCTATTTGATTCCTATGAAATATGATGATATCTAGAAACGAAATGTGTCCTCTTAAACTATTGGTTTTTACAATTTCTCACTGAGCCTGGGGGTTTTCATACTAATCTTTGGATAGGATATAAACTCCCTATGCCCTATCTATAGTTTCCAGGATACTGCATAGTATATCGTTACCACTGCCTAAACAGCCATATCTCTTATTTCCTACAGCTGGTGACTAAGAATAACATTAACATAACTACTTTTACTATGAAGATTTCCTGTAAAATAGATCTGGGTTAAACCATAGGCGCAAACTTTTCATACTGGTTGGGGAACGATGGACCTCCCTCATCTATCTTCTCCCACCAAAAAAAGTACAGGGAGTTAATATTATGTATAAAAATTATGATTGATTATTAACATAATCCATATAATTATTTTAAAATGAAAAATATATTATAAAAATAAATTTATATGTGTTTTATTTATTTTTTCGTTTCCTGTCTTTTTTTGCGTTTGTGTTGATTCAAAACTATGTTAACCAAGAAATTTAATATATTACATATTCTTATTTTTATTGAAATTTTTAAGGTAGTGAGATGAACTTAAAAAATGGAAAAGATGCAAATGAATAAATAAGAAAATTCCAGGATATAATGCTACATAAAATTTCTTTGAATATAATTAAATTTTCAATAAAGGAAGATAGGGTGCTGTAAAATATTTGCGTATCTACTTCTAGGCCTTAGCTTAGCCATCTAATCGACTTTTCCTATATTCTTAATGTATTTTGTAGATGTAGATTAATTGTTATTGATTTTTACTTCACTTTTGTTCTTCGAAATATTGGGGGCCGAAACGATATTCTCGCCTCCTCTATTTTTATTGAAAGGACCATCGCCCCTCCGAAGTCTGCACCTATTGGTTGGATCCATTTTAATTTGGAAGGCTATAAGATACAAGAGACTTATGGAGACTTTGAAAACTTTTTCTATTTGAGGACACATCATTAGAATTAGATTCAGTTAAGCAATGTGTACTAATTTTTTTATGTTTCTTATAGATTTTTCATTGTTCTATATTTTTAATAATAATGATGAAAAGGAATGATTTTAACATAAAAGTATTGCTTGTATTCTTATTTAATAATAAATTAAAAATTGTAGAAATGGGTAAATAGTCAACTGATTGATTATATGGATGAAAAAATTTTTTCAGGACTTTCAGTCAAGATATTTTTATTAGGTTAGCCGATAATTTGTCTAACATGTATGGGTTGAAACATTGGCTTACCTAATAAAAATATTTTGACTGAAAGTTATGGAAATTTTTTTTCATCCGTAATTATAAATGTATACAAAATTTAAAATTTCTTTATAAAAATATAATGTTAAAGATAATGATAGTTATACTTTGCATTTCAGTGGTTCATAATTTGCAGAAAATGAAATACAAAGTAAGAAAGGACATCTTATGAGTACTGGAATAGTGGTTTAGTGCATAATTGCCAACTTTGTAATTTAGCTTTCATTCTTAAAAAAAAAATTATGATTGACTGGAAAATATATGATATCAGTAATATTTTAGGAAGCTAGTCGACTGTTCTACATATCATGGGTGATAAATAGTCAGGACGCAGTCATTATACAATTTTTTTTTATTTGTGCTAACGTTTCAATCCAAAGCCCTGAAGATAGCCCACATATTTGGGTTGAAACGTTGGCACAAATAAAAAAAAAAATTGTATAATGACTGTGTCCTGACTATTTATCACTCATGATATCAGTAATAACTTCAATTTTTTTAAAAAAAAATAAATAACTAAATTTGAATAAATGATTATTTAAAAAAAAACACTATGATATTTCCAATCAATCACTTATTAGATATTTTATAAATAAACTCATTGCATGCGGAATGCAGTTACCACCTGCCAATTACAGGTCCCAATAGTGAGGCTTAATTTGACTAGACACTGGGCTGGGGACTCCTGCCTAAGAGCACAACCAGCATATTATGTTAATATTTCTAAAATTCATTACTATTATGTTGTTGTTTTTTTCTATTAACATTACATTGATTTCTTTTCTAGATTTATTAGTATCTGTTTTCAATATTTTTAAATCTAACGTCATTTGCTAAAGTATAAGACTTTCATTTATATTTGTTTCTTTTCAGAAAATGACGTCTAACGATACAGACATGACATGGTCCGGACCAGGATCCGGAGTTTTCTTACAAACAAAGCTGGCTCAAGGAATGGCAGGAGCAGCTGTTTGGGCCGCGCTCTTCCTCACCTGCCAGCAGGTTAGTTATATATTTCTTCATTTTGGTTTTATTATTTATATATATTATATATCATATTATCCTGTAAATATGCCTGTAATCTCGAAGAAAAGAGTTCTTATCTTGACTTCCGATCGATAATGATGACTCACATGTTTAGGTCGAAATTTCTGCTAACTCATTAAAGATATTTTGACTGAAATTTCTGACAATTTTCTTTCATCCTTAACTTTTTGAAATAAATGCTTTGATTAGTAGATTACATCTGACAGTTATATTTTAATATCTCTCTTTTATTTTTTAACTAGTAATAATACCTCAATGATCACTTTATACATTTGGGATACTTCCTTACTAAATAATAGGTTGTTAAATAATGACCAAATTATAAGAGTATTAACATATTAAATTGAAATTTACAATTATTTTATCTCATGTATGGGTTACTGACAATCAGATCAAAACACCCAGACAAACTATTATTATTTACACTATTTATACTGAAATTAAACACTGATTTTAAAATTAAGTCAAGTATGGATTGGCGAGCTAACGTTTTTTTTTTCTATATATACTGTATTTTCCTATGCTCTGCCTAACACGTCTTCCAAAATGGTGACACTTTCTTCTACTCAACTCGACCTACCTGGGATTAAAAGCTACAAATTAATAATCAGATTTGTCTTGCCGATGAAACAAATCGTACACATACTCAATTACAAGATAGGCTTTGGAAGTGTATTTTTTATTCTTGGAACATGTTTTCTTAGTGTTTATGTTCTTTTCCTTCCATACACATGACATTTTGAAAACTTAAATTCAACCTCATACACCAAAAATATCCAAGAAAAACTAAAAGTATAACATGAGTGGGCGCGCGGTGCATAAATGTTTTCCAAGCAATTTGAAAAAGTACTAGGGTAGGTAAGAATGTAGCCGAAGGGCAATGAGGGTTAGATAAACAAATACCTGCAGTTATCACATTTGGACACTTCGAGAAATTTGACAGCAAGAAAACCGAGGCTGGCACATTCCTTGTACAATATCATTGCAAGGTTAAAAAGGCATCATAACTGTATGTTTTTTCTGATTATCCGCTACATACATCTCCATATATGGCATAAGAAGGCGTGGATTGTTCTCGGGATACAAGCAAAGCTATTTTTACAAATTGAAAAGGTTAAAATTCATTCTTTGTGTCCTCGATAACATTCAGCCTATTATAAAATAGTAGTAGATTTCCTACTATTATAAAATTAAAAATCTGGTGCGCGCATCACATTTCTTTTACTTACCACCCTGTCATGAAATAAATTTCAATCCACCTGTTTTAAGTGAATGGGTTTCATTTAAGTAGAAGTCTGTGCAAAATACTTTTGAAAACATGTGCCTTCCATTGAGGCATTTATTGTTATGTAGAGGCTTCCTGATGGATTTCTCCGAGTTATTACATGCCCCGCTCATCTTAACTTCCTTGGCTTCATATCATGTGGGTTCCTGTTAGCAGATCTTTATTGTTCTTTCTCTTCCATGCGTTAGTATTCTGATCCCAGCCCTGATCACTCCAGTTATTGTGCGGAAGAGGTTTCTCTGAAATCTTTCAATATTTCTTTCTAGGGTGCTGGTTAGGGTCCAAGTCTTGCAGACATATATGAGAGCTGGTTTTATCTTTGTGTTTTTTTTTTTTTTTTCTTCTTCCCTACCTCGCCTTTTAGGCTATACGGGATTTTCCCCCGTTTTTAAATCCCCTCCAGCACCGGGATGTGAACTCGTACTTTTTAAATCTTCTCAACTCTGTAATCTGGTTGCCAGGCAACTCGCGGTGCTGTGCACACGCTTTGGCCCATTCGGCCACCCAGAACCCACTTATCTTTGAGTTGGAAAAGTAATTTGAGTGGGATTTCCTGCTTTTTATCATATATTGTGTTTAATCTTAATTTACTTGCAGGCCGATTTGCTCTGGTTTCCTTATCACAGTCATAGCAAGTTTAAGGAAAGTATTATTGTTATCCGAACAAATTTCAAGGCCCCCTGAGGTATAAATTCAATAAAAGATTTTGTACCAACAAATCGCTATCATCTCTTGAATAGATGGACTAATTTTTTATTTTCCTGCCTTTACAATATCAAATTGTTCAACCAGTATCCATGTTTTCATAAGTATTTTGCACAGGTTTCCACTTAAATCAAACCCATTAACTTAAAACAAGTGGATTGAAATTTATTTCATGGCAGACTCATGTAATGATATTGACCTTCCAACTCTGATTGGCATTGGTTGGTTAATCCTATAAATCTCCCCACCCCATTCCTCCTTGTGTGCCAGAAATGAATTTATTAAAATAAAAACAAATTTTAAAATGAAAGATTTTTCTTCTCAATTTGATAGTATCTTCCAGTGGTACAAAATTGATTATAGAATGATAATGTACTGTTTATAAATCATTTAGAATTGTTAGTTTATCAGTCAAGTCCTTGAATAAGTAACTATACACAAGAAAAATGTTTATAAATTATGACGAGTGTTGATTCTGAAGTTAATGTAAATATTTTACTATTTTTTTCTGCTGACATGATTGTCAGAACTTTTTGTTTTTGTTTTCTTATAATTTTGTTATTAAAATGCAAAAGTTTTTAAGAATTGAAGGTATTTAGTAATAATATTTAATTAAATTATGAGTTTTTAAAGTAATGTTTTGCATAACTTTACTATATTTGTTTAAGAAACTGATTTTATTTATTTATCAGAATGAAGAGTGTGAAGATATTGAACTTCTTGTCAAAACAATATTTATAAGCATGGATGTACTACATCCATTTCCTCCCCCCACTCCTATTTTAGGTATTGACACATTTTATAAACATGCAACACTTCAAGCATAATGATTAACCACATGTGCCAAAACCAAGAGTTTCCCATGTTGATGCGTGCGAGAATTGTAACTCTCCTCTATAGTTGCTATATAGTATAGGCTCTTGTTTTTTAAAAAATATAAACTTAGTTTTTAAAGATAAAACTCTGGGAGGTGATTCTAGACAAAATTTCTAACCAAGAAATTCATTCAATGTATGAGCCGATTTTGAACAGAAAAGGAATCAAGTCCCATTTGTTCTTTTCTTAAGGAGATCACATTTTCTCTTTCATAGAAAGCGATAACGCAAATCTTATTCAATTTAGGTAATTAAAAATTGCTTTGTAGTAAACTAGACAAAATTACCTTCAGATACAAGTAGGGTTTGTCTTTGTCAAAACCAGGGTTCTCCAACATTTTTGGCGATGGACCATATCAAGATCTCATTGTACGTCTCACGGGCTTGTGATAAAAAAAAATCCTGTTCTACAAATGACACCATAGCGGCAAAATGAGCTTTCTAAGAGATAAAACTCATACAATAAAGGTTTTAGTAACCTCATATATGAGTACTGAATTACATATTTTTTATAGTTTTTAAAATGTTACCATGTAATTACAGAAACCTTTTCGGGTCGTAGTTTGGAGACCCCTGGTCAAAACCATTCTAGGGACACAAACATCAAGAGAAATTTTAGAGGAGACTTAATTACATATACCCCACTTTTATACCAACATCCTTGTTAAATAAGCTTTAATTGTATCTAGTTCTGCTATAAATACTGTCACAAAAGTTATATTTAATACAAAAATGTATGTTTGAAATGATTGCGCACAACCTACTTGCTAATCATTAATTTTTACTAACTCGAAGTTAATTCAACATTTCTAAAAAATTACAATATAGCTAAATATGTTTTTTTTTTTTTTTTTCTATAAAGGAAATTACAGTAGTTAATAAAAATATTAAAAAAATGTATCTGTTCACTAAATATATTGTGTAAAAATATTATAATGAATGAATAGTATTTAGAATAGAAAATAATTTTATTCTGGGACAATGTCCCTGTAGAATAACAAAAAAGTACAAAATTAAAATATTATATCTGGCCTAAATAAAAACAAACATAAAAAGTAAAAAATAAATAGAAATAATTAAAGATAATATTAGTTAAATATACTATGTACAAAATTTAAAAAATCTATATACGACACACTTGAAACCATGCCAATGCAACTATGTACAGTGGTAAAACATAAATATACACTTTTAGAAAAAAATAAATAAAAAATACATTACATTCTTCTTAGCAATAAACTCTGTCTAGAAAAAAAAAAGAAGACGAATCTGATAGTAAGTATTTAAGTAATGAATTACGTGTAAATATATCATTACGTGAATAATATGTAATTTCACATAAAAGGTTAGCGGAGAGGGGAAGGGGGGTTATCTGACTGTTTTTGGGACAGAAATTGGAATAGGAGGGTTTTAAATATAGATAGAGAGGGAGAATGCCGATTTTTGATAGGAAGAGAATTCCAGAAATTAACAGACTGAGCAATAAAGGAGTTTTGGAACGAAGCAGATCTGTGAGAAGGAATGTAAAGGTCGTATGGTCGAGATCTTGTGGAAAGGGAGTCGACTGAGGACTTGAATTGGAGAAGGTTGCAGGCGTAAGAATGTCTATGATTGTTGATGATTTGATAGAGAAACATACCTAGGAAATATTGTCTTCGAGTGGAGAGGAAGAGCCACCTTAACTCAGTGTAGTGGTGAGAGACATAGGAGTATCTTAGGGCACCAATTACAAATCTCAAGCAGCTGTTCATAAGTCTTTAGTCTGTTCATAAGTATATAGCTTAATAAAATATTTCATAATTCTTAATGAAAAAGTTTTTATGAAAAAGAATTATGAATTACAAAGACACTTACTGGTTGAAGACACTAAGATTATTAAATACGTGCTAAAACTAGCGCTCTTCTACTTCATTTGAAATTTCTAATAACGGGGTTTTAATTCTGTTATCTACATTAAATCTTAAGTATAAATTATACTTTCTATAAAGAGAACGACATTTTCTTTTTTAAAATTGCAATATTAACATTAAAAAAATTTAAAAACCTTCTAGCTGCCCGTGTACGAATTCCGAACCGCCAGCGTGCCAAATTTTAGATTTCCCACTCCTTTCCTAGAATATTGTGAAGTTAAGAATCGGGCATCTCTTCTAATACCTCCTTTCTTTATGTCGCTGTGTTATTTTTCTTGTGTTCCTCTGATATATTTTAAAAGTTATTATTGTTTTCAGATTTACCAGCACCTGCGGTGGTACACGAATCCTAACCAGCAGAGATCCATCATTAGGATACTTTTTATAGTTCCGATCTACGGCTTGCATTCATGGGTCTCGCTGCTACTCTTTAATAAAGAAAATTATTATATTTATTTCTTTACTGTCAGAGATTGTTACGAAGGTAAGTTTTATTTAAATGATTGGTTTATGTGCTCATTTTATATAAAATTTTCTATTAATGTAAATTTATTATATATTATATTGTTATATATTATTTTCTTATTTTTTACAGCTTTTGTAATTTACAACTTTTTAAGTCTTTGTTATGAATATCTTGGAGGAGAAGGAAATATTATGAGCGAAATTCGAGGAAAACCTATCAGGTGAATTGAGTTATATTATTACCTATACTTATTTAGTTTGGTACATCAGTTGTTGATAATTTTTTTATTTTTATAAAACTAGTTATTCTTCCGCATTGCATTTTTAATATATATTCCTGCTTTAAATGAATGATGAATTCATAACGATGTCCTTAACTGAGTAAGATGTGTAATTATGTGGAAAAAGAAAAAGATAGAACCTAAAAAAAAATTAAGTTTGTCCCTATTTTTAATTTATAATAATTACAAAGAATACCTTAATGAGAAACTGTGCAACATAATGGGCTATAATTTCCGGATTGATTAACAGTTATGGTTACTAGCATGGAGCTTATAGATATGTAATCTCCATAGTGCTGCCAGCCACAGTTCAAAAGCCATTCTCTTTAGGGCCAATTTGGCAGTGTCCTTCCTACTAGGTCTTGCTCAAGTTTAAGGACAGTGACAGGTTTGTCTGGATCCATTGATAATGGCTACTCAGAGTCAGAAGTCACACTACAACCTATATTTCTTTACCTGAAGCATAGATTGATTGTCATGGATAAAAGCTCTGAAGCTAATGATATCCCCACGTACTAGTCAGGAATCATGGATTCCTTTATTTAAGGAGGTTTTTCCAAAATGTCAGTAGCTTTAGAGGTTTGATCCTTAGAACAATTTATGGATTAAACCTCTGCCCAAACTTTCTATTCATACTTTTTACAATTTTAATAAGTTTATTCACACTGTTTATAATTTTTATTTAAATATGTAAATTTCACATTTTTGTATCTTGTTCGTTTTAGCCCGTAAAAAGACCTGCAAAGTTGGATCGAAACGTTTTTTTGTCAATATTTAAGTCTTTTTATGACCACCACCATGGTCCATCTCATTACTCAAAAAAAAATTATATATTTATACTCATCTCCAAAATATGTTTAATATTATTACCTATCTAGTTGATTAAAAGCTTAAAAATCATCATAGAAATATCTTGTTTTAGCCAAAAATGTACATATATTCTTTTCTTTTTTTTTTTAAACTTTTTTCTTTTTTTTTTGTTTTAGATCAAACTGCATGTATGGAACTTGTTGCCTCGTAGGTAAGACTTACACCATCGGCTTCTTAAGGTTTTGCAAGCAGGCAACATTACAGTTCTGTCTCGTCAAACCTGTTATGGCTCTTGTTATCATCATACTTCAAGCTGTTGGTCACTACCACGACGGTGACTGGAGGTAACGAGCACAATATACCATATCATAAATATATATTTAAATTTAAATAAAATAGTAAATTTAAAAACTAAAAATCTATGAGTCATGAAGTGCAGTTTTAATTTGCTCTTTTTTTTTTTTCTTTTATTGTCTGTATAATAGGCATCTTTCCTTAGTGCACAAAGTTTGATTCCCTGTAGAAGCGTGGATGGAGAAATTTTCTGTATCATAAAAATGATTACTTTTATCTTTTTTTATAAGATGTTTAGTATCATGATTCAATTTTTTAAAATACTAAATATTGTACCAACTTTCTAAAATGATTACTTAATAAACCTGGTTACATCCTTGGTGACTCAGCCCTGTCCTCCAGAAGAAATTGCTCTCAATCTTCTCTTATTTTATAAAACTGTAACAAAACCATTTTTTTCAATTAAACTCTTTATTTATTTATTTATTATTTTATTGTAGCTGGGTCTCGTCTATATTATATTATATAATTTCCTCTGTATAGTGGCATCCTTCCTCTTTCAAGTCATCCAATCCCATCTTCCTTCATACATCTCCGAGCTCCTTCAATTCAAATCTTCTGTTCATTGACGCAATACTCGCTCCCGGTCTTCTAATTTATACATAAGGGCCCACCGAACTGCTGCTTTCAACAGATCTTTCATTATCCGATCCTCATCTGTATGGAACTCCATCCCTCCTCACATCCGTCAATCCAAAACCCTTCCTACCTTTAAAACCCGCCTGTCCCATCATTTCTTATCCATCCAGTCCCTATGAAATTGTAAATAGTTACTACTGTAATTATGTATATAAATTATCAGATCGTTCTTCATTTTTACTTCATGTTTATTTTCAATTTTTCATTTCTGATTTAAATTAGAAAGTAACTTATAATTTCATTTATTATTTTTTTTTATTTTGACTATTCACTTACTCTATATTTTTGTTTATGTATCTCTGATGTTCCTTAGCCCACATTTTTGTATTTCTGTTTTATTCTAAAGGAACTCGTCCCAAAAGCATTATTATTATTATTATTATATTGCTCAGTAATATTTTCAATAATTACAATGTTGATGATTTTGTTGCTAGCCCTACTGGTGGATACTTGTACGCTACTATCATCTACAATATATCTGTGAGCCTTGCTCTTTATGGCCTCTTCCTGTTCTACTTCGCTACGAGGGACATGTTGACTCCGTACGATCCAGTTCTCAAGTTCTGCACGATCAAGTCCGTTATTTTCCTCTCTTTCTGGCAAGGTAAGCTATTTATTAAGTATATTTATTTGATTTATAAAGTGGAATCCATTCAAAAGTTATTATATAATGTAATAAATAGGTATTAATTGAATTATATATTAAGCGATAACTAAAGAAATATTTAATTTAAGTAATAACCCGATCGCTTCACTGTGCAATTGACTAAATTTACTTCTAATCAAAATAGGGCTAAACTAAGCTAAGTTCTGTTTTAAAAAAAAAAAATCATAAAATATTAACACTGATGTAGAGATGGTTGACCGTTGATATAATATGAGAAGGAGTTGATCGGGGGGTGTGTTCAAATAAATACTAAATTAAACAGATAGTAATTATTTAATTTTTGTCGACGTTTCAACCCACTTTGCAGGTCGTCTTCAGGGCTACAAAAGATACAAAACATGGTGAAAATAAAATAAATGAATATAAGTAGATATAAAATAAGGAGAAGTTGTCTGATACAGAAATAAAAAGATGATAGCATAGATATAGTGGGTGAAAATGTAGTTAAAATATCAAGTATTATATATGTAGAAGATACAAAAAAAATGGAAAATAAAGGAGAATATAGCATTTGATGAATTTATTTGACCGCACCCCTCGATTAACTCCTCATAAAATATTCACAATTCTTTTTTTATCATCATCCAACCATACTAAAGATACCCCTCTTTTAGAAAGACTTCTTTGTTTAATACAATACAATGAATAGTTGCAAATCTTTTATTTCTTGTTTTTCCACAATCTTGGATCTATTATAATAAACCAATTTGCCTAAAAACATCTTCATATTTATATTTAAAAAATGTTAAAAATAATAATTTTTCATGTAAAGTGTTCCAGATCTTTGTCATAGTAATTGATCCATATTTTTAAGTGACAAATGTAATGTTTATGATGCTAATATCAAGCATCACCACCTATATTAATTCTGTGGATTGCGGACTACTTTGAGACACCTAAATGGAAACATGTTTAGCAATTAATTATTGCACATTTTATGTTTTTAATATATACTTTTATTTGACAGGTGTTCTTCTGGCTGTACTTGAGAAGGCGCAAGTTATCGACTCGGTTATAGATAGTCATGGGACGAGGACCAGTGCAGGTACGGTGTCTGCTGGCTACCAGAACTTCCTGATCTGTATAGAGATGTTGTTCGCGGCTCTCGCCCTGAGGGCTGCCTTCCCGTACCAAGCGGCAGGTTCCGAAAGAACTGTAACGATGCATAGTATCTCCAGCAGCCTCAAGGTAATGTTTAGAAAGAATTAATGGAACAGATGTTGGTTTAATTGTTATTATAAATTTGAGCTGTATAGACAAACTTCTTAGCTTAAAGAAATGTTCAATTTTTTTAACTTCAATTGATAAAGTTGCAGGTCCATAAGTTAAAAGAGACTCTTTTGGGTGGAGCTCAAGAAAGAGAAAGTATAACTTTTTAAGTTGTCTAACAGCCACCTTATCGAATCTTTTAAAATTCTGATTTGTTTTACATTATCTCAAACATATGTTTTATTCATAAATAAGTTGGTATTTTAATGTAAAATTATTTTTTTTTTAATTTATAAAACACTTCTTATAGCTATTGAGTAATGATATTAAAACATTAAATAGTTTTTATGGATAACATATTGGCAAGTTATGATGAATATCGGTGACTGCAGTAGATTGACAGTTGACCGTTGTAGATATATTGAAGAGAAGTTAGTCGGATGTTCAGTCAAAGAAAGAACAAAGTAAAAATAAATAAATTATATTTATTATTATTTTCTTTGTTCCAACATTTCGGTCTAAGTTTTCAGTCCTTCATCGGGGCTCTTCTCTTGAAAGGTGCTGAATTTTTGCCCACGTTTCGTCCTAAAGCTCAGATAAAACCAGATAACAATAGGTATGAGAAACTATAAACATTAAACAATAAAAAAGAATGAATATGTATGTGAAAGATATAGACTAAAAAATGTAGGTAGAATAAACATAAAGTATGTAGATTGAACATTAAAGTAAAAAAAAGTAGGTAGAATATTAACAGGAACAGAGAACTAAGAAATAAATATTAACGTCAACAAAGTAGGGACTAATGAAATAAACTTAATCAAATAAGGTATGAAATAAACTTAATCAAATAAGGTAACATAAAATATAAATTAACAACGAAAAGTAGTGGAATGTATGAGATGAAAAACGTAAGTGTAGACAAAAAATAAATTTGGATGACATAGTTGCTAAAATATTTTGTGTATTCTTTAATTGTGGCTTGATATTACAGGATTGAAATTTAATTTTACAAAAAAAGACTTCTTCCTTTATATGCTATTTATTTATCTCTTTTTGTTCTATTTATCTATCTTGGTTTCGGTCTTTTAGCAGACCTTGATCAGGCTAGATAAAATTAAAAAGTAATAAAATTAACAACAACAATAAAACTAATTTAAAATGTAACAATTTAAAATAACATCTTAATAAATCTTATTTTATCTAGCATGATGAAGGTCTGATAAAAGAAACCAAGATAGATAAATAGAACAAAAAGAGATAAATAAATAGAATATACAGGAAAACGTCTTTTTTTGTAAAATTATTTTGTGTATATTGATACATTTAATCGTTTATCTTATTTACATAATTTTAACTTTTTATTCTCTTATATATAGTCAGTATGTTTTGATAAATTTTACAGTATCTCAATTTTCTATTTACATCTATTATTTCCTTATATAACTCCATGTTCCAATTCTCTGTTTTACATTTTATTCTATGATTATCTTATTTCCTTTTAGCGTAGTACTTCATCATATTTTAGCAACTATGTCACCCCATTTATTTTTTGTCTGCACTTCCGGTTTTTATCTCATGCATTTTACTACTTTTCGTTGTTAATTTATTTTACAGTTCTTATGTTACCTTATTTTGATTATGTTTCTTTCATTAGTCCCTACTTTGTTACCATATTCATACTTCCGCAAACATGTTAAATTCACTTGCGTCTGTACAAAGTCTTATTCAATCAACAGTCAATCAATTGCAATAACAACAGTTAATTAGGCATCATTTTGTATTCATCTAAGCCAGACTAATGTTCTTAATTATTTAACTCTCTTAAGGGACTGTAGTCTCAGAATAAAATAATTTTTTTCATTTTCATTTCATATAATAACTACAGTCAACCTAATTAGTAACCGCTGTAGTTCAAAGATAATTTTGAAGATTAAGATGCAAATAACACAAATTGAGAACCATTTATTAACTATTTTGGAAATTTCATAAATTATTTGTAAATATGACAATTTTCCTGCCATTTGCCTGCCACTAGTCAAAGGTAGATTATATTTATACTCCCAATCACCGAAGGGTTGAATATGTTAGGGTCTTGTGGTAGAAAGGCAACAGTCCTATTGTTAAACGGATAGTCTCCATTAATTTGGATAGATATATATTAAATTATTAATTTTTATTTCAGGAGACAATGAATCCTAAAGATATTATGACCGATGCCATACACAATTTCCACCCTCAATACCAGCAATATACTCAATACAGCTCAGGTAAGTGATTCATTTATATTTCTATACGTTTATAATTATTCAGCTTAAAAATTCTCCAACCAAATAATCAAATAACAACTTGATGATATAGTTTCATCTTTTGTCTCCAGGCAACTAATCGTGTTTTGCAGCAAAGCATGTAGCATGGATGGTTAAGCGTCTTTCTGCCTTGATATAGCTTTATTTTAATTTAGTTTTTCTTTTTTGCTGTTAAACAGCTGCAACATATAGGTTTGCATGTATTGTTTCAATATCTAGAAAATGTTGGGTCTCAGAAATAATATTGATTTATTTATTAATTTTTAATACAAAAACTTCCTTTACTTTATGTTATTGGGGATCAGGTAAGGGTAATATACACTACTTATTTTCCTATTTATATTATACTTGCATGCACCTTCGACAATTTAGCTATAAACTCATTTGGTTGTTTTGAAATTTATGTTGATATAACCATTAGTGGACTTCAGAAATATTATAATTGCAGGCTGTATGGAACATCTTCGTATCAACAGCGGAATTTTTTCACTTTCTATTAATTTGTTTCTTTTTTGTATATTTTTATTCTGACTTAATTTATGCCTGTCATAAAGATATCTGCATTTCAGTATATTTTTATCATGAAGACAGTTACTGTATTTGTTCAAATATAAATAACCCTTCGGCTTGAAATAATTTTCAGAGAACTAATTTTCTAGAAGACTTCTAATAATATGAAATAAATAATAACAGTTTCTACTTAATTTTGTATTTTTTTTCTTGTATTTGTATGAAGAATATACTATTTTGGTGGCATTTTTACCAACATCCAAATGCAATTAGGGCAACAGTTTAAAATTAGGGTCTAATATATTATATATTTTTTCTTATCTACTAACCAGAACAAGGATTTCAACAGCTTAAAACCTTCACAAAATGACATGACACATTGTAATTGATACAGTAGATTTTGTTTTGACTAATAAATATGATAGTTTAATTACAAAAAATTCTTTTAAGAAATCAGTTTCCAATATACACTTTTTATAAATGCCTTAAAATTATGTGCTACTTAATAGTATCATAATATCTTTAAACTATTGTGAAGAATCTTGGAAATTAAAATATAGCTTCTTAAATTGAAATTTTAGAATCGAGTTTTCGAATTTGTAGTATATACTATTCCATTAGCAACACAATTGTAGAAAAGAGAGAGGTCAATAAAGACGCTAAGCTCAACATTTTGAAGGTTATATAATGTTAGGTTACGTTTCCTTTAAAAATTAAACAAAGTTTCTGAACCAAATTATATTTATTTTGCAAAATGTTTTAAACTTTTTCTCAAGTTGGGTTGAGACAATAAATACACATTCCTCAATTATATAATCTAAAAACATTCATACATTTTCTAAGAAATATTTATGAATTTCCATTCAATTTTATTAAGGTCTACTCTTAGCACTTTCTAATTATCACGATTTATTTTGCACTCACCATAGCCTGCAGTAAATCTTTTTCCAATTGTTGTTGAAGGTATTGTTGTATTCAACTTCTACAACTGTCTTCTCTTAATATTCTATGTTCTTGTCTTCATCTAGACACTCACTACTTGTTGTTCACCTGTCACACTCTATGTGTCTCGATGATCTTTTCTCGCCTGCTGGTCACTTCTCTCTTGATCTTAAAGATCTTTCTTTGCCGGCTGGTCACGTTTTCTCTGGTCTCGATCCTCTTTATTCGTCAGCTGATTACCTTCTGCCCTAACATATATGGCTCTTGCTTCCCCTTCCATCTGTCTTTCTCCACCTTTTTGTCCGTTTTTGACAGTATTTCGGTATATATATACATGTGCCTGTTCTGCTGTATGTAGTAGAGAGCTGGGCCCGCCCGCAAAACAAATGGATCCGAATAACTGTAGCAGGGTAGTTTCCATAACATGTAGAAATAGGATTAGGAATGAAACTATAAGGGAAGAACTAGATATTCCTGCAGTGAAGAAGAGACAGCTGGGATGGTACAGGCATGTATGAAGAATGAGTCCTGATCGTGATCAATGCATATAATTTATAGAGGCGGGCCCAGTAGGTGCTAAACCTGGAGGAAGACCTAGGTTTAGCTATAATACTTATATTTCCAAGATGCATCAAACGGGAGGAAAGGCATTGCAGGAGATAAAGGCTCTTGCAAGAGACATAACTAGATGGAGATCCTGGGTTGGATTAACTTAACTCCATGCTGAAAGGCACTAGGATAAGATGAAGTGTTTTAAACTTTAAATAAATGAATAATCCCTAGCTGAATGAGAAAAATAAGGCATTGAAATGAAATCTACTCTTTAATACAATATAAGTATTTTTAAACTCAACTCTCAGTTTTAACAAAAAGTGACTTAAAAGTCTTTACTTATGTTAAAACTTAATTTTGAGACAACCGGAGAATAGAGGTCGAACCCTGATTTTACAGACAGGAATTTAATATGGAAATCTTTACCTATATGGGCAAACACATTATTTTTCATTCATATCATAAAATTATTATGATTTCTAGATTTTTTTTAGATTTAGAAATATATAATTTATGTAATCTCTGTAACTTAATGTATTTTTTTTCACAAGCTATTCTGGAAAATTCAAAGGTAGGTTTCTTAGTTTCAAAACTTGTGCTACTGATTTAAAGGATTGTATTTTTCTTAGTTCATATCAGTAAATTTAAGAAAGAAAATATATTAAGTTTGGTTAGTTAATGGGTGATTGCACAACTCCATGAAATAAATAAAAAGTTACTATCACCTTCTCTGTAAAAATGGAATAAACTGTTGTATTAAAATGAAATGCCTAAATGTTGTTAATCATAAATGTTACAATAATTTATTTTTTAAAATAATTAAATAAATAACTAAAAATCTTTAAAACTTCATAACTGAACATAGATAGTGTCCGTGACTTGATAAAGTTCATGAATGACATCAAAGCAGTCATATAATAGAAGTCGGCACTTATTCTCAGTTAATTGTAATTCTAATTCATCTCAGTTTTTAACCATTAGTCTTTCTAGTTTCCATAATATCTAATATCCAAGTCCCATATAATTTACTTTCAGTTATGGTCTAACTATAAATAATTAATATAAATCCTGTGTAATTTCCGTCTAAAAACCGTAATTTCATCTCACTATGACAAATGGGGTATTTTGCTGGCAAGGTGGGACTTGCTTTTACAAGTGTTAAAGCCAAAAAACAAACAAAAAAAACTTCATAACTGGCAAGAATAATGGTGTAGTCTTGATATAAAGTTCCGTGAACTAACATATAGCCACAAGTGCTATATGTGCTCGTATTTAAAATTATCTTGATAAAAAAAAAAGAAATTGATCAAATCTGATGTATAATTCTATGATTTTTGGCTAATATCAATCTAATTGATTTTAAGAATTGCTTAATGGGATTAGTAACATAAAAGTTATAGCTATAGAATTCATAATTTTTATTTCAGTAGCCATTAAATTATTTCTGTTGCATTATTGATGAATGCAGACTGTATCGCAGTCATTTATAACAATTTTTTTTTTTTACTTTATAAACCCTCAGTACTTATTATTTACAAGAAACCAATATCTGTTAATAATATAAATTAATGTTTATTTTTAGATTAAGTAGATTATTTTTAGAGTAAGCGGAAACTGCTCGATGTGTCCGCTTATTCCAACACATACTAGGCAAATGCTCTAAACTTTCTATTAATTACAAAAGACTAATATACATGACTATAATAAGACCTATTTGGACTTACGGAGTTGAGCTATGGGGCACCACTAAACCATCAAATTCCTCTCATGTCCAATCCTTACAATCCAAAATCCTCAATGCTCCTTACTTTGTCACAAATAAAATAATCCATAATGACCTTAATGTTCCATCCGATTTGGCCCAATCCAGATACTTATCCTTCCATAGTAAACTTCATAACCATCCGAATCCTCTCGTTTCTAACCTTGCTTCCTCTTCGATTCCTGATAGCCCCCGAGGCATCTGAAAAGAAGATGGCCTCGTGATCTCCTTATGTAGACATATTATTAGAGTGTTAGCTGTGGGTAGTTTCTCAACAAGCATTTTCAAGTGATTATATTCTTGTGTAAACATTTACTTGATGTATTTATATTGTAATACAGTTGTAAATATCTTGAATAAATTAAAATTTTTAAATTATAGTTCTTTTTGGTATTCAATTAATTTTTCTTTTAGAAATCTCCAATGATCTCCGAAATAACTCGATGAAAATGACAAAAATGAATGAAAAAAAGTTAATATCTTAACAATAATATCTTTAATAGTAATAAAAATAAAATTAATAAACAGTAATAAATCAATATTTTTTTCAAATATCTTTTATTGAATAATATTATATTATGCTATTATGAAATAACACATTCACACCAAATCAAATTTACATTAAGAGTTTTTTCTTTAACAAAGGCATACTATTTAAAATCATCCTGAGAAACTCTGAACCAGTCTTATATACACATCTGTTGAGCAAAAAGCGAGACTTCAGAAGATCCCAAGGAATCTCATATAGCTACGAACTCACATTACTACTTGAGTAGTTAAAATCATTTTTCGTTTATTATTTCTTAAACTTTAAATAAGTTTATAAAGATACTCTATTCAGAAGCAGCGGTCTCCTGCTATACAGGATGCAGTGCTCCATATTGTTTAATCTACAACTTAGTTTACAATGTTTACCAGACATAACATCAATATATTTTTTTTCCAATTCGATCATTCAATTCATTCTCATCTGTTAACTTTTCCAGTGAACACAATATAAAATTACAATTATGCAAACAAAATGATCAATTCAGATCAAAATATACTTGTCAAGATACAATTTTGAATGATAGTTCATTACAAACAGGGTGAAATTCTGAACATGTCTCTCGTTTACGGGGTGTAGGTCTGATTTTTAGTTTCTGAGATATTTTAATCCAATGCGAAAATTAGTCAACTTGTGCCAACATTACCA